GGGGGGGTCGAGGGTAGGACAGAGGCGAGCTGGGGCCAGCTCGGCCACGCTGAGGTAAAATGGCTGCCCTGAGGGCACAGCGGGCTGAATCCGGGCCTGCGTCCATTGCTCAGCCGTGCGAGTGTCCCACTTACGTGGCCCTTTCCGCAGAGTGTTAAAGCTAAGTCCTAGGGCTATTTGTTTTCTTTTTTTCCTCTCATTTCTGAATGCCATATCGTGGTTTTTAGCTCTTAGATCAGACTGATCTCCTCATCTGCCCTAGAAGGATGCTCAAGTCCGCTTTGCAGGCTGAGCGTGATGACGATGGGAGTCAAAGGACAGAACAAACATTAAAAATGTGCTTGGCTTGGTGTCTACGTAGGTTAATAAAGGTGAAGGAACAAAAAAGCATTTGGGACAGAGGCAAAATCACATCTCGAGTGGACACGTTTGTGGAAACGTCTTTCCCTGAGGCCACGTGCTCCTGCAGAAGCACATGCTGCGCGGCGCGGCTGGGGGGGTTTGGTGGTGGAATTGTACAATGGGCTCTGCTGGACGGGAACTGAACCATTCTTGTAGAGTTAGATGAGAAATGGGTACAAAAGCAGGCAGAAAAGGATTTCCAGGGGAAGAGGCAGGAAAATAATGTCCAGCTGTTATGTTTATGAGATTATAATTTAAATGAAGTCACACTAGAACACCGGTGTGTTACTGGGGTTTGTCACAAAGCCCTAAAAGATGCGCTGAGGCAGTAAATGCAGCTTTGGAGGGACAAACGGCTTCCACGTGCCCCTCGGAGCACAGCAGCTCTTCCCCGGCGCGGCCCCCCGCCTGGGGTTCAGCTTGCAAATCGCTTTCGGAGTGAGAAATTTTTGTACGATCCACAGGGTGTAACAGATTGGGGGTGGTGGTGGGGGAATACTTCTAAAAATGTTTGAAATGTTTGGTTGTACTATTGCAATCTGGATGGCTCTCATTTATCCCTTGGTATCTTCCCTATCGGCACGCGAGTCTGTGAGGTGCCGGGAGGGTTGAGTCACCGTAAGTGCTGTGGTGGGGGTAAAGCAGTGTCTGAGTGTGGAGAAAAACCCTTTAGGCTCTTAAGTTAATTAAAGGATTTTGAAAAATGTGTCATGCCTCTTTAGCCCAGTCTGTCACGCATACTTCATTTTTCACGTGTTAATTAAATATGCATATTCCGCTAGAAAAACAGCAATCCTGATGACTTACAGTTAGAAAAATATTTTCAGTACAACGTCAGAACACGTTTGACTGTTATGAATGCCTCTCGTTTTTCTCTCGTGTAGGCTGAAGTACAGTTCTGTGCCCTGCTCTGGCGATTTTTACCACTGGTAATATCTGTGTTGGATTGCTAGCGGTTGGATTGCTGTTAGTTGCTGAAGGACGTTACGAGAAAGCCCGTTCTGAGAAGGGGTGGTTTGCAAAGCGCAAACTGCCAGCTGTCTCGGGATCTTCTGCGTCTTTAGAAGAGTTTTATGGTTTCGCGAACCTGCAGCGGCGCGCGGACTGCCTGGCTGCGGTGGGGGCTTTGGGGTAAAGGCGTTTTTTGAACCGGCGCATTTTAACAAGCAAATTCAGTTATTTGCCGTACTTATTGCGTATTAATAAAAAAGAAAAGAATAACTCCCTTCCCCACAAAAAAGCAAATCTCAGAGATCCCTTCCCACACTCTTCCAGGTGCAGGGAAGGCTCCATTCTTTGACGAGAGATGAGTCTTCATTTTCAAAAGCTTATTAAACAGCTGAAAGTTATTCTTAAAGGCATCATAAAGTAATGGCAAGTCTGCCTGGTCTGCGAACACCCTATTGCATAATTTCTTTTGTGTGTTAATAATCCTCATAACTGCTTTAAATGATTGCCTTAATTACCTTAATGAAGTGTCTCTTTATAGAAATCTTTAATGTTTTCTTCCTCATTACCTTGTTGAGCTCTGCGTTATCAGCAGAGCGCTTAAAACAGTTGGATAAGCTGCAGAACTTTTATTTGCTTTGTCAGAGTCTCTTTTGGCTTTCTGGCAAAATGTATATGTGGAGAGTCATTAAACATTAATTATGTAGAAAATAAATTACTGGGAAGGAAATGGCAAATAATCTTGCTAAAAAAAAAAGCCAGCTACTGTAAAATGACAAGCTTTCTTTCTCAAAATGACAAGGTAATGAAAAAGGGGGCCTTCAAACGGAGAATGTTGATGAAGAACGCAAATATTAACCTTGTCACCCAGTACGGGGGGTGCCTGAGCGTGCTGAGCCTCGCGGGAGCAGACACGCTGCAGCACGCTTCGGTACAGCCGCTCCTCGGCCTGCTTTGGGCCCGCTCGCGCAGAGCAGGGAAAAGAGCCTGCGGCGTGGCCCTTGCCAGCATTTCCACAGCCGATTTTCCTCTCCGCTTCATTCCCAGGCCAGCACCCGCTGTTCCCCCATCGCAGGCAGCCTCCGCGGCGCGGTGCGATCCGGCTGGGATTGGCCGGGATTTATCTTACCTGCTTGCAAAATAACGGTTCATCAAAGCTCGGATTGTTGGGAGGAAAAGGGGCGTTTGCAAACCAGCCTTGCAAGCTGTAGCGTTGTTTTGGGGAGCTAAGCTTTGGACTGTGCAAACTCGCTGTTTCCCTCCCGTAACGGTCATTCCGATTACGCTGCTCGCGTGGTTTCCTTTGTTTTTTTTTGCATTTAAGCAGGAACACAAAACCGCGCAGAAAGTGCCTTTGGAGCTCGAAATATTAAGCCGATAGTTCGGGGGCCTTCGACTTCAAACAGCGCCTCAATGTTATCAAAGTTACCAATCTGCATGTAGAAAAAAGATGCAAAAATACAGTTTGTGATTTTTTTTCTGAGGAACTCTGAGTACAGTGAGAAGACAAGGAGAGTGTGTGTAAGTCTGAAAATATTTCCCATAAAGGCGGCTGGTGGCAGAGCTGGTTTCGTTTATGCACATTCATACGGAAGCAAGCAGATTTCGTACGCAGACGCTGTGGCGCGTCCTGATGCGAACGAGAACCGCAAGACGCGGTGACGGTGCGAGTTGGTCCTGAAAGCCAGCCTGAAGGGACACACAGGGAGAGGTGTAAAGAAAAGCCACCCGGAAGAGCAGGCTGCGTCGACGGGCGTTTTCCATCGATGGCAGCGCCTGGACGCGGATCACGCCTGGAAGGCAATGTGAAAATGCTGATTTTTAGAAATTCTGAAACATTGCTCTTTTTCCTTCCTTTGACCAGCTCTACCCCATCACAGCTGTGAAGCACGATGCGCTCGGCAGAGCCGTGACGCTGCGGGCCCCGGGGCAGGGCTGGCCGAAGGGCCGCGGGGAAGCAGAGTCTAGTTAAATTGTATGTGGTTGTTTGTCTTGCTAGTAGCAATTAAAGGTTAATTTTAAAATAAAAATAAAAATCGGGGGGGTTGATGTGATTTCTGCTGTCTTGCTTTTATGTCACTCTGATTTTCAGCGCCTGGTTGCCCCTTCGGTTCCCACGTGCCAGCCCACCACGCGTAGGGGCGAGGAGGGCAGCGGTTAGCACAGCCTGAAAAGCTCCGACGAGCCCCCCAGACCGGTTTTAATTGATTTCTTTCCCTGGGAAATGGAGTTCTTTCCTTTCTTTCATACAGGGCGGTGCGGCTCCGTCTGCCCGCTCGCCGTCGCTGCCTGCCGCCCGCTGTCACCGAGGATCCCACCGAGCTCTTCCCGCTCCCTGCCCGGTGGGATGCCCAAAGCCTGACGGGGAGGGAGGAAGACAAATGCAAACTGTTAACGAACGCAGACCTGCGGAGGTGCCTTCCTGCTGCGGAATAACTGAGCGACGAGGCGCGTATCCCTTTGGGCTGCTCACGGCAGGAAGATCCTCGTGGTTAGGAGGAGACCGGCCAGCGGCCAGCCCAGTGCTTCTTATTAAACAGGCAAGATTTCGTATTTGTCTGTTTAAAGTATCGACAGCTTTTTATTCTC